CTATAGATGTAAGGCAACCTACTCTCTCTGGATAATGCTGAGCGAACAGTTATTAAGAAAACAAGGATCTCGAAATACACATCCGCAAGAGCACTGGATACTCGGGGCTCGCTCCCAAAGATGACTTCATAATGGATGGAGATGTCCACGATATCGGTTATTTTCAAAACGATCCTCGAAACCAATTGAAAGTAACGAATCGAGGTGCGTCCAATCTAATTGATATTTAGCACTGATTCCCGGTAAATCGAAATGTATACATGCTTACCTCTAATAAAGCTTTCGTTGCACTCCACACTAAAGCAGACGGAGCAGGATAACATTGAATCATCATATCAACAGCCGGTCCACACATGGTAAGGAAGTCTATTAAAGGGGAGATTCTTTGACCGAAGCATTTTGAGTCATTATTCGATGGATAATAGGTTTCAAGCAATTCGATTTCTTTCATGAGATCTTCGACATTCGCACCCAAGGAATAATTGCCTGCTGATTGTAGCTTATCAACATAATTTTGCAGTAGTGTACCGACTGGCATAAGCTTTGGTTCATTCTCGAGATACATTTCCACCCTCTCTTCTTGCATTGTCGAGTAAAAGGTGAATTCCAAGAACGAGAAAAATGGTTGTAGTGTATGGATTATATTGTACAAGGTTATATATCACACCTTGTAAAGCCAACGTGCAATGGTAAGTAAGTAACGTGATCAAACTATATGCGCACTGCTCCAAGTTTTACAGGTGAGTGCGTCCAAGCCTGTACTCGTGTTGGTTGGAGGCCAAATGTCGATCAGATTTCTTTTGTCTCTGCCACTGCCGAGTAAAAGCAGGTAAGATTGATCAACGAGAGGCAGGTAGGTAATTAGAGAGGGTGGGTATATTGATAAGCGCGTCGCTATATTCCGACAGTGAAGATACGAATTAATTGCAAGGTAAAACAGTCTCTTCTCGAAACATTTGCTTGATATTGCCCTGGAGCAATTTACAAAACCAAATAAGAATTTCCACTGGATGACAGATTCTCGAATTGGCAGGATTAATAAAGATTGCGAAAGGATCCTTGGCATCCACTTCCGGAGTTGGGGTCCAAAGTTAGCCTCACATTATCTCCCGTAAGCGTGAACACGAGCAAAGGTACAAACAGGCATTCTGATCCTCCTTCAACTTCAGCTAGAAAATCAATCTCCCGATGACAAGTAGGAATATTATTAAGGTTAATTAACCGCTATATCTTAATTCCACATTTATATGTTGTGTTAAGAGCAACCCAGAATCTGAGTGAGACGTTAGTCTAAAGTTTTCATTTGACTTAACCATAGTCGAGTACACTTGTATAACAAACCGGAATCATGGCGTGACAGAATAATAGTTTGAACAGTAATGCATCTCGCCAAGGCCAAAGAACAATGAATGGAAATCTGATTTAAATTTTTTGCGCCTGATTATCGTATCTACTAACGCCCGTCCGCATACCTACTAACCATATGTGCTCCTCCGCAGAAATAGCCTCATCCTTACACATGAAAAATTCTTCAACCCAATAAATCATCTAATCCCCCTCCCAGCTTTTGTTGTGAAGTTTGTGGAGGGGCTGATCCTGCTGATGGAGCACCCCAAATACCAGCACTTGCTTTCTCCTTAGCCAGTTGTCCTAAAGCTGGACCTGAAGTTGTGGGAGTGCTAGCCTTCTTGATACCAGCACTGGCACTAGACCATAAGGATCCAAAAGCATCTCCTCCAGACGACTTGGCAGCTGCAGGTGATTTGGCAGAGGATGTTGCCGACATGGGATTTGTTTGTGTGTTGGGGGCTTGAACCGATGTGAAGTAATTCGGTTGTGTACTTTGGTAACCTGTCTGAACTGGGCGTGGCTGTTGAGCCATTGCAGGCGGAGAGAATGCAGAATAATTGGCTGGGGTATTGTTGGTGCTTGTTGCTGGTGAAATTGAAGAGAACCCAACTAGATCACTCAAATTTGCAGCTTTTGGTGCCGAGACTGGTTGAGGTGCAGCATATTGTGTATTACTAGTCGTAGTGGTGGAATGCTGTAAGACTGGGGAGAATGCCGCCGGCGCGACTGGTTGTGCGGGTGTCGCAGACTGGAAATCATCGAAGTCATCATCATCGGCCAAAGCATTCGATGCTGCAGGCGCAACTGCTGGTGTAGATACCGGTATTGGATCATCGAACGAGAATAAGTCGACTTCTGGTTCCTTCTTCTTTGGAGGCTCAACCTTTTTCGTCGATCGCTCGGTTCCAGCTCTTTTGCGATTGGATGATGCTGAAGAGCTTTCGGCCTGTCTTCGTGACGATGAAGGAGCCGCACCCTCGTCATATTCATCATATTCCTCAAACTTGTCTCTGCGGCTACTACTGCCACCAAAATCACCTTGATTCCCAGAATCTTGGAAATCACTAGTCTGGCCGCCAAATCCACCACCATCTCCATATACACCTCCACTATATCCGCCATAACCACCTTGTTCCTCACTCCCGAATCCTCCGTATCTACTGGAGCTGGACATTCCACCACCTAATCCTGCTCCACCTTCAACTCCAGTATATTTGTTTCGAGTAGCTCGTGCTTTCTTTCGTTCCGCCCGAATCCGATCGACATCACTGAGTAATTCAGCCAACTCCTTCGCTCTGTTTCTAACATTTACACCTTGATCTTTGCCATTCTGATCGATGAAGTGAAATTGGCGCAACATCTTGAGAAGTGTCAAATGTGATCGCGCATCATCAATGACACGCTCCGAGCCATTCTTGATTAAGAATTCGAGTAACTGTAATCCTTTGTATATTTGTCTCCATTCCTCGGCAGCTTTCTCTGTAAATCTCTTGTAAATCATAGGCATAATCTCATTGAGTAGTTGGCTGGAGCTGGGTTAGTGTGCGAAGTTGCTTTTGGATCGAATTGACTTACTAGTTATATGTGCCATTGGCGATCTCCTGCATTACTGTAATACGATATTAGGATTGACAGTTTCGGCATTCGAGATGAACAGATCTTGCGACTAACATGAAGAACTTGCACCCCAGGGCTCATTGTTGGTAGCCTCTCTCACTTTGGCCTCCATCTCGGTATAATTCATCACAGCTACATGATTGTTAGTAGATGGTCGACTCAGCCAGCTGTCTACACTGAGCCCTTACCATTTTGTACTTTGCGCACACCCGCCTTCAAATCGTACAACGTCAAATTGGACGCAGCCTCCTTCAGACTGGCAAGATCCATGGCTGGAGTCGTTTAATCGAATTAATGGAATTAATTGATGATATGGAGTTATAGACGCGGGGGAAATTATCTGGATACTGTATGGAGATGCAGAAGTCCCATGTGTCCTAGAACGGCGGCCGATCGTAAGCTAAGTTGACACTAACCTTGGAAGGGATATTTGGTCACGTGATGTATGCCCAAGTTGATAGCAACATCTCCTACCAAAAATCTGATAAATTATCTTTTGGTTGTGTGATGGGCAGTTTGGATAGCATCTATCTACCTCTATCATTTACTTGATATTTTCAACACTTCCATCTCTATTTCAAGACATGATTGGCTAATGGCTTTACGAAAGTAATGATTGTACTGATGCCGAAGAATCATGGCAGAAGTACGTAAGGAAGCGGTGAAGGACCCTTGCTCTTATTTCATCAGTCGGGGGAAATTCGCTACAAGGGAAAAATAAGAAGTTGAAGATATCTTCAGAGGTTGCGTTCTCCAGCTACTCGAGGAAATCATCCATAGACTACGACGTGGTACAATCGGTGTAGTATTCGCCAATCTTCTGTTTCCTCCCCACCCCCTCCCCCTCCCCCGATCAATTGCATCTGACCGTGTTTTCTTCGGTATAAAAACAAGCATCCTTCACCAAACCAAATAAGGTACGTCGCTGAGATACCCCGAGCAAACTTGCAGGAGTGAGACCTGCAGGTCAAGCACATCTTTCGTATTCCATTGCACGCTTTTGAATGATTGGGGCATTGGGACATTGAGTTTGCAAAGTAACCCGCTTCCCGCCTCTTGTGTGCTGCGGTTTTTGCCTCCCCTCCAGCCGAGAAAAGAATAGATGAAGGCGTCATGTCATTCTCAACTAAATGCGCGGCGTCTCCTGATTGGATTTTCTGCAATGGTACATTCCAAATTGACCCCAATACTAGTCGACCGAGCAAGTTTGGATCATCTAGACCCTATATTTCCAGCAGCTGCAAAACGCCGATGAATATGGATGTGATGATGATATGATGCATCTGAAAAGTGGCTATGAGAGGCGACTCTTTAGTCTAGGTTGTTATACGTCCCGGGACATTTAATATGTACCTGGCGATACTTTACTGGGACCAAGATTAACCTCAATGATTACCCTTTAGAAAGTACGACTGTAGTTGGATACTAGGTAGGTAGGTATAGGTATAGAATGAAGAAGCAGAGATGTTCTTGTTTTGAAGAACACCTACTTGAATTACTAGTCGTCTTAAAATCGCCTATCTCTGTTTATATACATCTATGTATCTACTGGGTATTTAATATCGTACATATACATCGGATGTAATAGCTAGATACCGACTACCAGCCATCAAACCTTTACTCAGGAATCATCAATAATAGTAAACTCATATCCCTACCTCTGCTGAGCTCACCCTACCCCACCTGCATTACTTGTTTTCTTTTCCCCCTCCTTCCGATCGATTCCTTCTCTTTCCCTTCCATTCATTCCAACCAATCCTTTCCATTCACCACGCACAACCCGAAGAATATCCCGGAACAATTCACCTGGTTTTCTTGATTTGTTTTGGTATTATTAGTACGCTCACTCTCTCACTTGCTCCAATTGCGATCATTCCTGCTACGGCGACTGCTACCTACCACCTTACCTTCCTTCCCTTGCCTTACCTCCCTCACACACATTCCCACGCAACGCCTCATATTCACCTTTTTTACCCTGCCCCACCAGAAAACTAATCCAACCAATTAGGGAGCTCCTGACAACTTCGCTAAAAATGCTATTCGTGCCCCGCACTGCTTCTGCGTTGAAAAGCACTTCGCTGCCCCTCCTTCGCAACACCTTCATCAACAACTCTTTCAACTCTATCTCTTCAAGACAATTTCACGCAACTAAATCAAATATGACCATTTCAACGTACGTTCTTGCATCAAAACTTTATCAATGTAACTTCATTGAAGCTCACATATTAATAGTTACTTCGATGTTACCTGGGAGGGTCCAGTCCTTGACGCTTCCGGAAAGGCTACCACTAATATCCAAGGTGAGTGATACAATCACCATCTCATCGATCTCTTTTGTATCAACTTCATTATAACCTCAACCTCCATTCATCACAATATGATTCAGCGCGTCTGTTATTGCGCCAATTGAGCTCTTGTTGAGCTCTAAAGACACATTTTGTTGTTTTTGATTGTCGTCATCTTTGCCCCACCTTCCACTTCCCCTCTTGGTTTCCGGAGCTGACATATACCTTCCTTATCACAGAGCAATCTGGAAGAATCAAGTTCAACCTTTACGATGATGTAGTCCCAAAGACCGCCGAGAACTTCCGTGCTCTCTGCACTGGTGAGAAGGGTTTCGGATATCAGGGTTCTTCCTTCCACAGAATCATTCCTCAATTCATGCTTCAAGGAGGTGACTTCACCCGTGGCAACGTACGTTACAAATACTCGATCAAAACATTTTACCAAACGCGAAGCTAAGAATAATACAGGGTACCGGTGGAAAGTCAATCTACGGTGAGAAGTTCGCCGATGAGAACTTCGAGCGAAAGCACACCCGTCCAGGTCTCCTCTCCATGGCCAACGCTGGACCAAACACGTAAGTTTACAAATCTCTTCCGAGCATTTACAATAGTTCAATCAACTAACAGCTACATAGCAACGGCTCCCAATTCTTCGTTACCACCGTTGTTACCAGCTGGTTGGATGGCAAGCACGTCGTCTTCGGTGAGGTCGCCGATGAGGAGTCCTTGAAGATTGTCAAGGCTCTCGAGGCCACCGGATCCGGCAGTGGAAAGGTTCAATACAACAAGAAGCCAACCATTGTCAAGTCCGGAGAGCTATAAATGCATTTACTAGCGAGTGTATCGGTGGCAGGTGGTTTTTGAGCCCGACATCGTTCGGTAATCCTCATTATGATTAGCTATCTGGCGGAATGAATGACGAAAAGTAATGCAACGGATTTTACTAAATAGTTCTGTTTTTTGAATGTGATATCTACCTATGTGATTAGAGGTCTGAATTTTGATGCTTCCCATATGTGGTATCTCTCCTGAACTCCAAAGCCGGCCGTCGCTATGCTATGTAATAGAATCCTATCCCAAATAACCATTTTCGCCCTAAATATTCAACCATGTTTGAAAGTATTCGCAAGTACTTGGTCCTACAGGCCCACCCTCTTCACACAGATCGGCAACCGGACAGTGTCCACACGGAACATCCGTCAAGGCACTAAATGGGCCACCTTCCTGTTCCTCCCTAAATCCTTTCCTTACAGCCCTATAACAAACACCTTCTGGACCCGCAAGAACCCTCTCAATCTTATTATCAAAAATCAATATGTCCAGTAATTGCTGAATGTCCTGAGCAGTCAAAGTCATAGCTGTAGCTCCTGAATTCTCAATGAACGATGTGAGTTCATTGAGGGTTGGATATCCTTGGTAGCCGGGTGGCATAGGTAGAAGAGCATCGTAGTGTCTTCTAGCCCCATCTATAGCATCGCCCTCAGTAACGTCTTCGATCTTGACTCGGGATCCTAAAGTTTTGTCTCTCAATGCTTTTGCTTCATCCGTAGACATTTGCTTTCCCATAACCTTCTTTGGCCTCCTCAAGCTCGCCGAACTAGATTTATAGAAAGATTTCCTGTGGATGTGATCAAATAAGATATGCGAGATCTGTGTGATGAACTCCTCGTCTAGTTCATTGTCGGTATACCATGCTCCACCAGTGGCTCGATCGGAAGGTTGCAGACTGGATTTGATGTACATTTTCCTATTACGTGCCTCTACAGATTTCATTTCTGAGATCAAGTGTTTGGTCTCGAGGTGCTTGAGCGCCGTGCGAAAAACTGCATCGTGAAGATTGGACCGAGCCTTGATGGTTTTGGTCCATATTCCTTCTTGACCGGCTTCGTCGATGAGAGCGTAGACAATTTCTTGTTCCGAGGAAAGACTGCGATAACTATTGTTCGGGAACTAATTAGCATTGTACATACATCATAAACTGCCGCTTCTGATTTTGCTTGATTGCAAGATCAGGCGTGAAAGGCAAAGGGAATTCCTACTTCTTAGCTTCCTCTTGAGTACGCAATTTCCATCCAATTCCTCTCTGCGAATCCTGAACCACCTTGAACAATTTATCATTTGTGAGGCCCTGACAGACGGCCAACAGCATAGCCACATCATCATTAGGTAGGACTTTGAGTTCGAACAAATCTTCTTGGAAAAAGGTAGGATTATCTTCGAAAGATTCAAAACACTCGTCATAGAGGACTTTTTTCAAGGCTGCGATTTTATCATCGGACGCTGACGCCGCGGTCGCTGCTCGTGAAGACATGATGGGTTATAGTTGTGCGGATTGGAAGCTGAAGATTGTGCTACCGGTGTTGACGTAACATTGAGGAATTATGTAGGGAATCGATGTTGCTGTTTGAGTGGTGCAATTGTAGAAAGGTTGTTCTCGAGGGAAATAAATTATTTTTGGAGGGGGACGATACACGAGGCTAGAATTGATAAAATAAAAAATCGCGCCTTGTCATGTAGCCAATAATTAGACTAGATTACTAAGCGGGCCTGGAGTCATTTGGCGACTTCAAAATCCAAAGTTGGATATCTCTTTCGAATTTTTGTGTGATACTTTTCCTGTTGTTCTTCACTATTTGTTTTTATCACGGGTCTTGATCGGGTTGAACTTATGTCGTCTTTGATGGTCTTGAGATATTCTCGTGACCACCAGTCGATGTATCACTTGTAGAGGGTGATCATATCGAATCGAAGTACACTATCCATATATTTTCAACATCTATCGTAGGTAGATACATATTCATCAGTTCATTGAATGAGTTATGATTGTGAACCTCAAAAGATAACGAGAGATACCTATATACTTAGGTAAGGGAAATGTAAGATAAGAATTCATGACTTAAGATTCGGTTGAACAAGAAAGCTGAAATGCTCGATGTTGGATTGGAGAATGAAGAATGAAGTCTTAAATACTTGAGATCAATTGGCCAATGAAGCGTCAAGTTCGTGATAGAGTGGTATGTACGTATTGTGAAATGATCTCGGTCCTCGGTCCATCAATTATCAAGTCTACGTAGGTACGTAGCACAAACTGGTATAAACTACCTAGGTAAACATCGAGGTCGTATCATACAATTACAGTGAATATCTGCAATGGGCAGGTGTTGTGAATGCATGCAAGGCCAATCGATTAATTGCCCAGCATACCTACCTGCTGATGGAACCTTGCCCAAACATCAACCACATCTAACAACCTTGAAACACAACATTTCTCTTGCTGGCTGAATCATGGCAACTCCTATCACTGGTTTCCGTTTGGTAAATGGCAGCACCTTGCCAGCTATTGGCCTAGGAACCTTTCAAGGCGATGATGGAAATGAAAAAGTAAAGAGCATCGTGAAGGCGGCGATCCAGGCTGGATATCGTCATATCGATGGCGCAACGGCGTATGGCAATGAAAAGGCTATTGGAGATGCTATCAAAGAGTGCAGTATCTCAAGAGATGAGTTGTTTGTCACCACTAAACTGTAGGTCCATAAGAATTGATACAAAAGCGATGCCTGCTGATTCTGTTAAGAGCTCAATCCTGGCATGAGCCTAAAGACGTCGAGCGTGCGTTAGATTTGAGTTTGAAAGCTCTGGGCTTGAAATATGGTGAGTGATGCATATCGAGAGTAGACCTGATTCAGCTACTAACATCACAATAGTTGATTTATATCTTATGCATTGTCAGTAATCATCAGGTCCCCTAGACTAAGAACCATGGACTGACAATTGATACTCAGTCCCCCATGCCTACCTTCCAGGCCCAAATAACGGTACGATCCGACATCCCAGCGGCAACGGAAAGGTAAAGTCTATCGCATTTCCATGAAAGTTGATGACCGCTAAGTGAATTTAAGCCAGTAATCGATTATGAACGATCTCGCAAGTACACAGAAACTTGGCAAGCAATGGAGAAGCTAGTGGATAGTGGTAAGGCGAAAGCCATCGGTAGGATATGAATCTTTCTAGTAGATCAGAATGAAAATTGACAACTTCAGGCTTATCCAATTTCAATATCCTCAAGACTAAACGGATCTTGGAGGTTGCGAGAATTCGTCCCGCGGTTAACCAAGTCGAGGCGTATCCGTGAGTTTTGAAGTCCATCTTCTAACGACAGTCCGGCACTGACGACGTTCATGCGTAGTTACTTTCCCCAGCACGAGCTGCTTGAGTTTTGCAAGAAAGAGCACATCCATCTCATGGCCCACCAGCCGCTAGGAGGAAAACCTGTTGGAGTGGTGGCTCCTCATGTCGATATCCCTGGACCTCTTTTTGATACAAAGGTGAATATTGAATTAGATTCTACTAAAATAACATAGATCTAACGATAATAGATTGCTCAAATTGCCGATCAAACTAATATGACCCCGGCACAGGTCATTCTATCCTGGGCGGTCCAGCGTGGCACTTCGGTAATTCCAAAGACTTCTAATGAGAGCCGGCTCTCTGAGAATCTCAGCATTGCGCCATTAAGTGAGGAGCACTTTGCGATCATTAATGGTTTGGCGACAACCATTGAGAGTGGACCTGTGAGATATTTAGACCCAAGCAAACATTTGGGTTTTGATATTTTTGACGAGGAACTCGATCAGCCGGTAGACAATCAAGCTCCTTGGGATTAATGGTAGAATCATGACTGAAAAATAGTAGAGAAGATCCTCTACTATCAGCGAGTGGTTGCATGAGCTCGGTCTGGAATTGGAGCTTATGAAAGTTTTGGACTCTGGAGTGAAGGTGATGACGACCGCGTGTTAATTCAAAAGCCTAAGAATTGATGAGATTCAACAAGGAGAGAACTAGAAGTATCCGCACATTGATATGAAGAGCCAAATACAGTTAGACTTCCTCCCCACAAATAATCATGATTAATCATTCCCCTTCTTTGTTCTAGGCGTGTACAATATCCCCTCCTTTCCTCAACCGAAAGAGAGAGATACTTTTTTTCGAGGATTGGGTAGCTTAAGAGATATAGGAGTTTTTTAAGAGATGAGAAGGAATTTTAAGGTTTAGGATAGAAGAGGACAAGAGAAGAAGGGGAGATTGTATATACTTTTTGTTTTATGATTCAAAAAATAGCACATGAGGTAAACCCCCAGAGCCTTAACTCTTCACGTATGAACCAACATATTGACTAGCTAAGAATAATGTATTCGGCTACAATCAACCATCATTATAGTTGACATTTCCTAAAGCTCTTGAGTATCAAACACTTTCATGATGTTAATCGCGATAAAAGTTGCTGGATTGTAGTTAACATCTGTGTCTCATGATCGCTTCATTGTGACGAAGATATTGGAACCCGCTATGAAAATTACCTTCATTGCAAGATTGGATGGGGATTGTTCTTTAACATTTTAACACAACACTATCTGGGAGATTTACCAATCTAATAAGACATCGTCGAGAAGATAGTTCATAAGGTGATATGATGCAGGGGAAACCCAAACCAATCCCCTCTGAAAGAGCTCTAATAAATCAGGGCGCTCAGTACACAGCTTCTTTACAACCTTAGTAATCTCACAATAATTGCAGTTTGAATTTCTTCGTGTTCTGTGCTTTATACTTCCAATATACATCTATGAATGGCAAAATCTTAACATATCTGGAAAAGATTTTTAGATGGATATTGATTTGAAAGTGTTCGAAAATGATATGACATAAATTTGTGAAGAGAGTAAATGGTTTCATAGTTTATATTTGTTTTTATAGAAATCATTGAATCAGTCAGAGAGTATATAAGAGGTCGATGTTCAAAATCGTTGGCAGCATCCCAACAGGTATGGAGTTGAGAATCGTAGAACATTTACGTCCAACAAAGTCTCACTATTTAAACGCGTCTGGGAGTTTAACACGACATGAATCTCTGAGTCAATCTGGTACAATGATTAATGCTTGTATTTGTTTGCGACACTCAAAAGCGACACCGTATTGCACACCAAGAATACGGCTTCAGCTGTTTGAAGATTGGAATAAATAAGAGGTGAAAACCTTTATCTCATCCTCAGACCACACGGTGATTACATAATAGGCTTGAGGCCTTGTTTTCGAGGCAGGGGGCCTCCCGAAGGTTCACTGTAGGGTCTGAAACAATTTGGTTCCAGCTTTGATGTGAATAGTAACAATTCAGCTTTTCTGATTTTTTAATTAATATTATTAAATTATTCAATAATCATATTATTTTAATACAAATTCAATATATAAAAACTGATTTTTTTTATTATTTTGATATAATTTTTATTATTATAGTTCTATTAAATTATATATAAATATAGCTTTAAAAATTAAAAATAATATTTCAAATAATAATATTTCAATAAAATAAGCACCCACCCCCTTCGAAATCTATTATTATTATAATTTTCAATTAAAAAATATATATTTCAAAAAATCCTCTTATTTAGCTCATCCTTTTTATATAAATAGAATCTTAAATAATAAAAGTTGTTATTGATTTCAAAAGATTGAATACTCTTAGTGTTGGTATCACCATGGGGATGGTGAAGTAATATAGTATTAATGATTCACACTATTGTAATATTGCTCGAGGTTCTAAAAGCTAAAGGCTATGAATGTATATGCTATAGTGCAGGGGCGTTAGCGCATGTGCTAGTGTGATTAGTTACATGATTTCTATTCCAACACTAACGACTCTCTAAAATCGTTGTATTGTATCTTTTCTAGCTAATATCCTTTTTTCAGTATAACTATTTGTGCTACTAATCTTTTTCAATCTATTTTGTAATCTTAATCTTTATAATATTATTATCAATCAAGTCCTTTAGGATTTAATATAGTTTAGATTTAGTTATTATATTTACTAGATTAGATTCTCTATTAATCTATTTAATCTTTACAATCTCCTGTTTCTTGTATATCTTTCGAATCGTTATTACATCGATTATTAATCTTTTTTCAATAATTGTACCAAGTTTTGTGAGATAGTTGTATAATGATCTCAAGTCGATATATATAACTAATAATATCTTGCAATTTGGGAAGATCTTGTCAAATATATCTTTGATTGCTATACTAATATCAAAGCCCAAAATTATACTATAAAGCTTTAATACTAATATACTTTTAATAACTTTTTTATATTTGATTAACAATTAATGAATAATATTAGCCCTATCGAATTTGTTTATTAGAATAATAATATATCCAATCTGGAAGAACAAATCTTTATTGTTAGTAAAGAATATATTTGTAAATACAATCAATTTGAGAGAGTTTATATTAAGTGGAATAAATTGTAATTCTTTCTTTGAATTGTCAATCTGTTATTGAATATATTTATTGAAAATATTAATATCTTTTTCTTTTGGATTGATTGTTTGTACTGTATATGATAAGTTAAAGGCTGCCTTTGGTTGATATATAGTTATTATATATACTCCTCGAGCACATTATGCAATATACTAGTCTTTTACTGTTGCCAACTTTCTGAGCTTGCTGCGTATGCCTTACATATCAAATGATTTTGAATTGACTAAATAAAGATTTTCGTATTGTTTTTTTTGGTTGAAGTAAATTGTACCATCATCCCGCTAAATGATTAGATTATTATTAAACTTGAATAGTATATTTAATGTAAATGTCTTACACTCTTTTGCTGTGAATTTAGTGTTTCTGAATTCAGCTTGCTTACGATCTGGTGAATTACTTTATTAGCTACAATAAGTATATCATCCGTTTGTAATCGATAATATCGAATGCTGTGTCATCTTTAGTTGTATACAACAAACATGGATTATAGATCGATTATATTATCTTAAGAATATTGGTATAATACTTATGGTAGATGCTAAACCAGTGATTGCCTGCTTCCGGGACACGATATAATAATTGTATAACTTACAGGATAAAGTTTTCTAGAACATTTATTTCCGATGGTGATTGAGTATAAAACTTCTGAACTAAGTTTGATGTCGATTGTGTATATACTTGTATAATATCCGCGAATACTCATGGTTACCTTGTTCTTGGATAGCATCGCTATTATTGTTAAGTATAATATATTAGCTGACGCATTGTATTGTTAGCGATTGTATTAAAACAGCATCTTTTCCTTGATCTTTTTATACTTGTATAACCAATCGGGATTTGGGAATACTTTATCAGTTCCTTTATTTTTAATCTCATTAACAAAACAAAAGTTAAAAATCCTTATACTTGCAGGAATATCCGTAATCTTTATGAGTTGGAAAACATTGTTTTTTATAAGTCTGTTGATCTCCTTTCATCTTGATTTTATGAAAATTATTGATAATAAGGTATTAGTAGATATTGTATAGCATTCAATATACTATATATTATTAGATTTGTTTTTTTTGATAGAAAAATCAATAAATCCGGTGGGTGTTTGTGAATTCGATATTTTCTTCTTTTACAAAAAGTATTAATTGTGCTGGAATTACTATTTGAGGGATTTATTATTACTGAAATTGGGGGTTCCTGGATATATTCAAGAGGGTCTTCTTTGGATTCCTACTCCTGGTAATAGCTGGTGAAGGGGTAGATATAACATTTGCTAGATTTTGGTAAAGTTGTTTTGCTTGCACTAAATATAGCAAGTTGCTCTTGCTATATCAATCCAGCTTGTACAAATAGTATTTGTGCTGATTCGGTAAATGGTTAGGGTTAATCCTGAGACCGATCCTGTATATCCTCTACATGAGGTTTAACCTGAGTAATACGGAATTGCCATTGGTTCGCTTGGTAGTCGTATTGTACATATCTTATTTTTATATTTAATAAATAATATAATCCTGTCTATCCTTTATGTTCTCTCTATATCCAAACCTTCGAATTGATAGGTAAATCATATAAAGCTATTATAAATAATCCATTTTATTAACTCAAAGTGTTAGATACTTATTGTATTGTTTGTAGTTTATAAATCTTATTTATTACTTTTTTAATTGCTGATTACTATTATAGAACTGTAGATATGAGTGGGTTCAGATTCAAATATCTGCGGATATACTCCAAAAAACTAAAAGTATTAAAACTAATCCGTTTGGTTCTACAGTGTTGTTTTATTGCTTTTATAGCTATTTATAGGCATTATCTCTTTTGTAATAAACTATTGAGCTTATTGGAGATAATAGTATACATTCTCTTAATAATTGTATGATAGTGTTCAATTATGCCAATTAACCAATATGTCTTTAATTGGTATATTCTTTGTTCTTATCAATATGATTACAGCATATTAAACGAATTCCTTGTTTACAAAGTTCTTTCTAGTATTATGTATAATAAAATCTAGTGGACTGTATAAGTATTCATTTAGTATTTCGAAGCATATCGAAAATATGTTTTTGCGGTGATATTATCCAGCTATTACACAGTTTGGGAATATATATCTTTATTAATAACGTGTAGAATAAATAAATATTAATATATATATATCAACTATTATTGAATGATTGAAGTCAATATCATTTTATAGATTGGAATTAAATTGATCTGATAATTTTCTGTATTTTTGATAATATTGATAGAACTGGTTGAGCTTATCAATTTGGCTTTTGAGATATTATTATAGTTAGTTCGCTGTAGTAACTTTGTAAAAGTCTATATACCGATAAATAATCAAAGCGATATATAGAGGCATTATATTTTATATCGATAAGGTAATATTTATTACATCTTATAATTTGTTATATAAATTGTTTATATATTAATTTGCTATAATAGACTGTATACTTGTTGTATCGAATGTAAGGGTAACTTTCTCCTGTTCTTATAACGATAATGTTGATAATATTATTGTAATATATATTGAAACAATCTATATTATTAAGTGATAATAGGAATAGGTTTCTGTATTCATGATATGAAATTCGATAGTTCCTAGAAATAAATAGAATTTGACTAATCCGAAAGATTTAGCTTTTTTGATCTCGAATATTATATTTGCATTCCTACTCTACTTTTATTTAAAATAATATTCTTAACAATTATCTTATATGCTATATATTGATTGAATTCTATTGTGAACCATTCTGCTATAGTTATATCAACAATAATATCTCTGAACTCTTTGGAGTTGTATTTGTTTATAAATATAATTTTCCTTTTGAGTTTATGTGTATTAGGATATAAATAAGTGTTTTATTAGTTAATCTTATTATAATCTTTTTATTATTAAGAAGTCCGTTTTGAGTAATAAAGCTTAAATATAATTCTTATTCTAATAAATCTTGAAATTGTATATTAAGGTGAAGTAAGCTTGACCTTCTTATTATATTAATATCAAATTCCTTAATATTATTTTGATTGGGATTTTTGTATTCAATAAAAAACTATTCAAAACTTTATTAAGTTATTATTAGTTATTCTTAAATTACTTTTTATATTTGTATTGTAACTTGTTGTACTTCTTTTTGTTATATCTAATTGATAATAATTATTCTTTTGTAAACAAAACACTCTTTTTAGTTTATAATTTGAATGGTTATCAATCACCTCATCCAAATCCTCTATTTTGATTATATCCTCCTTTACATTAATACTTCCAATCGATATAAAATATTATATTTTTGTTGTGAATAAGCCAGCTCCTATATCATAATAGTTAAATGAAGTTCTTAAGGAGAATTGATATATTATCAATTAGGCGAAAATAAGTTTAGAAGTATAGTAGTATTGATACACATACATTAACAATCTTTTGATAAAGTAAATCCTTTGTTTTAATTATATTACTGAATCCTTTATATAAGTAATATAATTTTATCAGTATTTATTATAAATAATAAATGATTGATTTCCTATCATTCTCTAATTGTACTATTACACTCTTTAGTATAATAGCTTCTCATTGCCGCATGATATTCCTTTTATGCTTGGGGCCTTTGAATATATCCACAAACAATTTGCAAATCTCCTATATCAATATTGGCATAGTCTCTAAATTCGTATAATAGAAATCAAATACTATATTGATAAGTATAGCAAGAAATACTCTTAAAAGTAGATTATCAGGTAAATCAATATATTGATAATTGTTGAGAAATATATTGAATTTATGTATAAAATTGTTATCTTGTTCACTGTATTTGTTATCCTTGTTATAAAATTTCACAAGATTTCCGAGAAGTTGATCGATATTTATAACTCTTGATAATAGATTTGGGAAGATCTTCGGAATATTGTGATTGTATTCTGAATCACCTTTTTCTTCTTCTTTTATATCGTCTTTACCTTTGTCGCTGTTATTTCTATTATGACCATTTTGTAGGAAATCGTTTTCTTTGTTTTTATTACTTTCTCCTCCTTTTCCTTTACTCGAATTACTGTTATTACTGAATAGATCCCTGAATAATTAACTACCTCTCTCTTGTAATAGTAAAGGCGGTTGTGGTGGTGGAGGGTCGGATTGTTGAAAAGGTATTCGGGTCGAAACTATTCATACTGAACCAACCGCGAAGGTAGTGGTTTCTTCTGATTATAAAATAAATATATGGGTGAGTTGGGTTTATTATTTTCTTGTAGAAAGCTGGTATTAGGTTGGGGAATGGATTTATAGTAATAGGGTGCTTATGGTTTTGATAACACTTTTTGTTTAATATCAATGCTCTTTCCTTTATTATCTAAAAGGCTGAATCCTGAAATTATTGTGATCTGAAATAGAATACTTGGTAATTGCGATAGTCTGTATTGATTGAAACCTAATGGTTTGGGCTAGCTGCTTATTTGAGATATCTTGGATTCTTTTAGTAATATATATATAAAAACTCGAATATCTTTTTCATTTATTTTCTTCTATATACTTTTCGATCGAAATATAAATCCCTTATCTGCAAATACATCCACAATCTCTTTATCTGATTATTCTCTATATAGTAATCGAATTATATCAACTAAAGTATCATAAACAGATTGTATTATGCAGATCTCATGCTTCACAACAAATATACTGTACAAATACAGTTCGTATTTCAACTTGTATAAAAGATATATGCCGACTACTTGAAAATATTCCGAATTGAAATATTCAAATTCGCGAAAGTAATCCGATTATAGCTTACTATTATAATACTTCGATTGTTGATATTTGTAAAGTTTGTATTTACAAAAATCCCTGATCTTTTTTATATCTACTTCCTTTGTAAAATCAATAGGGTTATTCTACCATTGCTCAGCTATTATATTAAAATCATCAATCGCAATAACTGATAGTACAATCGATTCGGCCACACTTTCAATATCGTCATCGTATTTAGACTTATACTCCGCAGAATCGTCTTTATAAATTCTGTTATATTGATAAATAGCAGATAGGTAATAAGGTAAAATGCTTAAATATAATTTTGCCAAAATCCGGTAAAGTTATATTTATTTGTTAAAAGATAGTATTTAGCTCGAGCTGGTAACTACTGGTTCGTATTCTTCAACACACATTACCTTAAAAAATAAAATGTAGACTAAGATTAATTATAAAAATCATCACCACATTACCAACTAAACTTGGTTTGTTAATATTAAATTATATTGGATTAATACTAAACACAAGAATTACCACCATATTGCCAACAGTCCTTATTTATACAAGGGCAGGTATCAAACCATATTGTTTTGATACAAGAGCTTATATCTCTTCAGAGAAATACCAACCTTAGTCACAAATCTATATTGTATTTGAAATTAAGGTGTCAAACTTTTGATCTGTGATATCACTAATCAGTGTTGGTATTATTATGGGGATGGTGAAGTAATATAATATTAATGATTTATATTGTTGTAATATTGCTCGAGGTTCTAAAAGCTAAAGGCTACGAACGTATATGCTATAGTGCGGGGGCGCTAGCGCATGCGCTAGCGCGGTCAGTCACATGATCCCTATCCCAACACTTAGCTTTAAAATTCTAAAGCAAAATACTTTAAACTTAAAGTATTTTATATTCAGAATTTAATTATTACCAATAATATAATTCTAATGCTATTAATATATTTGAAAAGACTTGTAAGGTATTCAATTCAATAAAGTAATTCGATTAATATTATTTTTATTATTAATAAAGATAATTTGAAATCATTAAAAATAACTTAGTTGATTTGAAAAAAAAACTTTTTAATTGAATTTCACAACAATCATAATTCCAATTAATTTAAAGCCGATTTATATAATAATATCAATTGAGCTCTTTCGAATACTTTAATTAGTTTTTCAATAAATAATAGTTGAAAGAATAATATATATAATTGAAATACTCTCACCAAACAAATTGAGTTGTTCACCAAAAACACACCCAAATACTCTCAGACTCTCAAGGAGATAAACGTTCCCCCCGATCCCTAATTGGCTGAAAAAAATTGATTATTAATAAGCAATCCAAAATATCAATAGTATCAAAAAGACCAATATGAATCTTCAATACTATAAAAATTTTATCGACAAAGAGGGTTTGAAAGTGAGATAAGAAAACCTAAGGTCCTCGGGTAATATATTAACTCATGTTAGACGTGAGATCTCAAATCCTCGTGATCTAACATTGTGTTGCGGACATAATGATGCGGACTTTCCAAAACTGATGTAAGTGTGAAACTATATCACGCTTCGAAATCCGACGACAGTCCTTCAGGGTATTTCTCTACCAAATACTTCATGTCTTGTATAAGTCTATATCATTTATTAGAGGTTTACTGTCAAGAGTCGCCGAAGCGACACCAAAGAATCTTTACTCACGACTCTCGAAATCCTAAAATTGTAGGGAAGAGACTTGCAGCATGCAGATTAAAGCGCAGCGAGTACAGAACAATTCGATCTTCATAGTCCTCTTCGGGCGAAGTCTTCGGGATATAGGCATGATACGCATTGAAATATGTTTTCGAGAACTTATTACGCTCTGGTCGCCAGTTGCCCAGCTCATCTACACCAGAGTGTCAGTTAGCAAATCAGTTGTAGTTATGAAGTCTTGGAGAAAGCCTGTAGTTAGGGTAAGTTGTCCTCACATTCGTTATGGGCATAGAAGCATCCAGGGTCAAATATTACAGCTTCGTCTTCGAGGGTATTGACGCCGGCATTTCCATACCACATATCTCCGTCTATATGAATTTGGAATGGTCAGATTTCGGAAAATTGTTCAATGATAGTGAATTTGAGAGCTGAAAGACTTACGAACTAGACTTGGCTTGATTCTTCCCTCTAAAGGTCTAAGCAATCGAGGAATGACCTTCTCGAAAAAGGCAGGGAGCAGAGCTTCTAGCTCCTCACTCGGTCCGGCACGTTCTGTGTTGATCTCTAACATATGGCGAAACCCATCTGCGAAAAAAGCTTCCCAATTATCAGAATAGTCAATTTTCTGTGGGAGATCACCATTGAAAGTCACTGTGTGGAAGCCAAATTTGTTGTTCGGAGAGACAGAGTTTCTATGTAGTCTGGCAATTTGCTCACAGAATGAACTGGGCTCTACCAATTCATCTATGATTGGTAGATATCGGCCGAGATAGAAGTGACAGTCTGGCTCGTTCTTCATTGATCTTTAGGCGATCGGTGGAGCTATAAAGTCAGGCATAACTTTCTGTATGGCCTTCATTGACTCAAATTCTCCATTGATAGCAGCTCGACCTAAGTGGCCAACTGTTGTCTGAAGCTCCACATTGGTGTATAGTATTTTGCAATGTTCATAAGAATACCTTCAGATAGTAGTCTTGATTTGTCCCATCTTTCAATAACGTTGAAATCCTAGATTTAGTTGCCCATGCGGAGACACCCAAGCCAGATATTTGGAGTACTTTTTCCACCTCGGGAAGCTCTGCACGAGTATGTTAGCTGCGGTTGCTCGGCAGCTGATTTTTCATATCGTATTGTGTCTAAACCTCAGCATCGAGGTAATCAATGAGCATTCACATCTTATACTAATAAGACTCCATAGTCAAAATGCGCAAATCCAGTTCATGTAATTGAACCGATTGTCTGTATCCTGATGAGACTTTCTGGTAGAATTGTCTAGGTTCATTTTGTACAATTTGCATCAGCCCCTTGAGATCCAACGACAGGACCTCGGGATGTACCGCTTGGATTTGTACATCTAAAGTTTTCTTTACGCTCCTATGAGATGCTGATGAATGGAACGGCATGCTCTGAAAGATTCACAATACAGAAGGCAAGAATGAACATACCAGCGAGAATATTTGGATCTAGATCATTTCCAAGAGCTGAACTGGGTTCCATGTTGATTGTGAGGATAACAATAATACAAGAATGTAGGATACACCACGTATAGGTGTTGAGTCTTCGCATCCCAACTTGCATATATGGTCTTTCTATGAAAATCAAGAGACGAGTTTCATAAATGCAAGAATTGTCGAGAAAGAATCTGCAACGCTGGAATGGCCAAAGGAAAGAATTGCTTACATTAATGCTGATCATCGAGGAATATGCAAATTTGATTTGCCTTCAGACCCTAATTTTAAGACTCTTAAAACGCACTTAGTTCGACTGTCGATCATGCCACAGCAGAGAGTAAGCTAGTCCATCACCTGAAAACTCTTTTCTTACTGATTTATGATTGAAGCTTTGAGGATCCAGTGCGAGACTACATCAGCCGAGCGACATCGTCTTCATGGCCTATTAGGTATCCACGATGTTCAAGAGGAAGATCGAATAGTAGCCCGTGACGCAAGAGTTGAAGGCTCATGCAATTGGCTGATCACGACTCCAAACTTTACCAGCTGGCAAGATCCTACTTCCGACTCGCCTTCAGTCTATTGGCTGAGTGGGAATCCCGCATCGGGAAAGACCGTTCTCGCTGGACATGTTATTGACCATCTGGATCAAAGTAATCTTGCATATAGTTACTTTTTTTTCAAGGATGGAGTGGCTGCTGATTCATCGATTGGCTATTGTTTGCGTACTCTTGCGTATCAGATGGCGTTACATAGTCCTGAAATTCGCAAATTTCTCTTAGACATGGAATCAAATGGCATTACGAACAACAACAACGACGAGGTTGTGATTTGGAACAAATTATTTGTTAACGGGATTCTTCAAATTGCGATGAAGGTGCACCAATATTGGGTTATCGATGCGCGCGATGAGTGTACTCGTTCCCAAGCTCTTTTTCCTATGTTAATTAAGCTCATCAATTCTCCCAGATCTCTGGTTCGGATCTTCATTACAAGCCGCCACAGCCAGATTTTAGATAAGGGATTTCTCGGCTTTGGTAAAAGTTTAATCAGCCAAGAAATTTTTGCCTCAGATACGATGGGAGATATCAAACTATTCTTGGAAGCTCATATGGATAGCCTTCCTTTGGACACGCTCTCAAAACAGGAGGAGTTGACCGAGCGGATTTTAGCTATGTCTTCCGGGTCTTTTCTTTGGGTGCGACTTGTCATGCAAGAACTCTCTGAAATCTACACCGAAGAAGATATTGAAACAGTTCTCTCAGATATACCAGCGGATATGAATCAATTCTATACAAAAATTCTGGAAAATTTGTCAAAAGACCGGAGAGGGGCCAAATTGGCCAAGATTATCTTCATGTGGATTGTTTGCTCCTATCGACCATTAACTGTTACCGAGATGCAATGTGCTCTGAAGCTAGATTCCAAAAGCACAGTTAACAATTTACGAAGAGACATAAACTCTATCTGCGGACAACTTGTGTTCGTCGATCAACAGTCACGTATACACCTAATCCATCAAAGTGCCAAAGATTTTCTCCTACAAAAAGACCTATGTTCCGATTTTTTTGTGGACAGAAGGGAAGGACACTATCGACTTGCTTCTCTGTTCCTTGACGTGTTAAGTAAAGGCTATATACGGGCCTTTCGGTTGAAACGATTTGAAGTATCGACACCCTCAGCAAATCACGAAGCCATATTACTTGACTACGCTTGCACTTTCTTCTCTGAGCACCTGTATCAAGCTCCGTCTTCGCGTGCCGAGCTTTTTCAGAAGCTCCACAAATTCCTTGACACGAACGTTTTATGGTGGATTGAGACCGTTGCAAGACTAGGCAATGTAAACTATATAAGCCGTGCCGCCAAAAACATGAAAGCTTATCTCGATCGCCGTCAGAAGTATTTCCCTCCTATCGGCGAGGACCTCCGCGAGGTAGAATTTTGGATCACAGATCTTATTCGCATCAGCACAAAATTTCGAAACATCCTCCTAGCATCGCCTTCATCAATCCATGGCCAGATTCCATCGATGTGCCCTTCGCAATCAATCATCGCTACAAAACACAAGCAATTGAAGCATGGCTTGAATGTCATAGGGTTATCAAGAGGTACATGGGATGACTGCTTGACTCAAATCGATTACAAGGGACAGGGCCTACAAGCTATCACACTCACACGCGGAGAATATATGTTTGCTGTTGGGCTATCAGGCGGTCGAATAATAGTGTACGACACTGCAACAAGTCAAGTTAAATTTACCTTCGATCATGGAGAGAAAGTGAAGTTCCTCACCTTTGGGACTAAAGATCAATTGCTTGCATCCGCCGGAATACGCTCAATACGAATTTGGGATCTCGAAACAGGCGGGGTGAAGTGTTCATTCCAGCTTGGTTGTCGAACAATGGCCCTTATGTTCACCCCTGAAAACTATGGATTAATAGTGGCAACATCTGAGAATTTCATTTGTTGGTTTGATGTATTGAAAGAGAAAGAGAAAGACCGCGTATTCTGGCATGAAATTCATCTTAAGGGGCGGGAGACAATCTACCAGCCACCAGCAGAGGTTCTCATCGCACCAGGTCTAGAGATGATAGCAATTAGCTCCAGAGCAAGCCCTATACTTCTGTTTGATCTGTATAACGAAGTTTTGTGTGGTGAACTTGTCCGAGATCGAGGGCTTATGGAAAGTGTAGGCGGTACTTACTATCACGCATCAGCCATGGCTTTCAATCCGAATCCCGATATCAACTTATTAGTCGTCTCTTATGGGGACGGAGAGCTTGTAATCTTTGACCCAACAACAACTGAGCTCAAGCATCGTATACCAGAAGTAAATGCGCAAACTTTGGCCTGCTCACCTGATGGAAGAACATTGGCATCAGGTAGTTCTTTCAGTACGATTCAGCTCTATGAATTTGACGGCACGGAAGATGCAAATTTATCTCTGATATACCGAATCAATGCATACGATGAAGAAATCCGATCGCTAGTTTTCAGTGGTGACGGTTTACGTTTCATTGACATTCGTGGTTCCCATTGCAGAGTATGAGAACCCGCTGCACTTGTGAGGAAGTCATTGGGTGACGGTAACAACAGCGATATAAGTGCGCCAGCAAAAGCGATAGTTCAGACTGTGGGAATGATCGAAGGAAGCCTGAAGCCTGATATAACAGCAATTGCAGTAGATTCGAATGGGGAATGGGTTTTCTGCGGTAGGCAGGATGGCTCTGTTGCTGTCTACAATACGCAAGATGGCCTCGAGAACACATGTCTCTACCAACATGCTACGAATATTTCAGTTACTAAAATTGTGTGGGGAGATAATACTGGCGTTCTAGCCACAACAGACGAGTCTGGTCGTATGCTTATACAAAAACTCGTGAACTCTAGCGATGTGTGGTCACAGTCTAAAACAATTTTCGACTACCGCTTCCCTGATGCTATCACAGGGCTATCGTTCAATCCTGGGAACAATATCCTTCTCATTACTACTGCCAGCTTCATGTACATTTGGACAAGCGAAAGTGGAGATATTCAACATCATGTGCCCACTGGCCACAATCTTGAGAATTACAAGATAAATACTCACACCCAAATACCAGATGCATTCATTGCGTTTTATCCCAATTGTGCCCGAATATTCGAATGGGGAAGTTTGGAAGAGATATCAGGCCCTGGTGGCATTAATCTTGACGTCCCTGACGTGGCGTCATCCCCAGTGACAATAACCGAGTCGGTCGAAAGCCAATACACCCTGGTTACACTGACAAAAAGTCGATTTGAACAAACACCTTCTTAACTTCGATGTTGGGACACGTCCATCATTGACCGCCACTCGACTACTATAAAAAAGTTCAACGGACTTGAATCTCTTGGTCCATATATCTACCACATCATTGGTTTGAGCGGCACAAATCTGTTCTTCTTAGCAACTGATCTTTGGGTCTGTAGTCTAAATATGGAGAAGTTCTGGCTGTCCCCGGATGTGAAACGCCATTTCTTCATTCCAGCGGATTGGATTCATCCTACAAACGAAATGCAGTTTTTACTTGTCAGCTAAGGACGAATTTATCTTCGTAAAGAAAAATGAGCTAGCAATCATCAAACGAGGGTTAGATTCACCACAGATAATAAGACCTCTGCAATTTCTACCGGAAAAGAAACTTTTCGGAGCTTGCTATACCGGAGATTGATTATTTCCATCAGATTAGGAATACATTGACAAGATAATATTTCGATCGATCTTTAAATAAACTCTTACGCGCATGAATATGGAAGGCAAATCTTGGATGGACTGAGCTGTACTTTCTAGGACACGCCTGATTGGAGTATATGTTTGAGTTAGAACCAGGCAAAAAGCATAAAGGCAGGCGTTCCAGGACCGAAATCACCGCCATGACGACATAGATCCGTTACCACTGCGTTACAATGAAATATTGCCGTTGGATATCGTGCCACCGATCGCCCAAAGAGTTCAGCACGATTATTTCTGATGCGTTCCCAGAGCCATTCATCTTATTTCGACGCATGGTTGATACCCATGTAAGATTCCAGTTCAGCTCGTTGTTTATGTTGGCCAAATTTCACATCATAAGGCACTACAATTGTTCCCTTCAGACTTGTAATCTTATATCTCATCCGATCCGTTAAGACAATTCGCGCAGTAATCAGACCTTGACGACGATATATATAATCCCATCCCAGCTAGCTTTCAATTCTTGACCTCTAGCGTATCCCAAATTCTCATTTACAGTACACCAACAACGGAAACTGACTTATAACAACAAAAGTACCAACATGCATCCCATCCACCGCTCTCTGCACAGCATTGAGTCGAAGCCCCGAGAACGAGTTTTTAACAGAGAAATCCAAACTCATCACATTTCGATACCTAGGTATCGACAAATTTCCCATCTAATCTACGCATTTACTAGGACCATTCAACATCCCAGCATCCCACCTCAAATGGTAAAACCCATAGCGCATCCGCATCTCTAGCTTGATATTCATACAACCCATTCCAGTCACCAACAACAACCACCAAAAACGCCCGTTTGGCTTAGCGGTAAAGCGCATCACTAGTACTTGTATCAAACATTGTCATGATGAGATCCTAGGTTCGATTCCTAGAACGGGCAATCAATAACATTCCTCAGCGATTGGTGATCATTTTGCCAAATAAAACTAATTTGCTGCAATTTTACCACCTTCTCGAATCACTTATTCTCGAGGACTCAAGCACGCAAGCCAATTCACGAATGAAACAACGCACTGGGAAAGATATTCCCCGCCCCAATTTTTAGGTAATTCGACAGTGAGTGTTGTGGGTAATGGGTGGATAGGTGGTGGGTAGGCGATGGATAATTTAGGGCTGTGGGGTGGGTGGAAAGGTGTAGTCCGAGCGGTGAGAATTTTGTGCATCGTGGGTTGGTGGGTGGATGGTGGATTTTAAATACATTGGAGTGTGAAGTCATGGTTTGGTGTAGATTGAATGTATGGATGGATGAATGAATGAATGAATGAATGGTATTGCAGTTATAGAAATATTGATTAATGTGAAGAGTGATTGTTGAGGCGATATAGTAAGGGTAGAGAATGAATGCAATTGTGGTACGGGAAATCTGGAATTCATGGATGGATGTGTGATTGGCCTAATCAATACATTAATTGAATTCAAAGTTTTGCCAGACAGACGAACAGTCGAATAGATAATAATTGACTTTATTGCGACACTTTTTCTTTCCACCACTTTTGAAATAGTAAAGAGATGCAGACAGCTTTGTTTTCAAATAATGTTATAGTTCGAGGATTTGTGGTGGGATGCAGCAAAACGCTGAGATTCTATTTGGCTTCGACGAGAGTATGAGAGAATGAATACTTATTCAGAAGATCTGGATACATTCAAGTACAAGAAGATAAAGCTTCGAGGGACTTCACGAGCTCTGTTTGATCTCTTACGCGGAACGATATTTTGCGGAGAGGAGGAGAATTATAGGAACGTGTATTTGGGTATATATTTTTAAATTATTATTTCATGACTTTTCTAGCCCATTATATATATATGTTGTTTACTGAGAAATATATTAGCGCCGCACTTCAAGATTGACTCAATGAATAAAACTCACCTCGGAATCAGCAATCTTCAGAACCGCCTTTCCAAAGTTCTTTCCTCCAAGCATACCAATGAATCCCTCTGGTCCATTATCGATTCCGTCAGTAACACTCAAAGAAGCCTTGAAGCTTCCATCCGCCAACCACTTGGCAACATTCTCGTCTCTTGCCTTGACATGCAATGGGCCCATGTTAGCATCAGAAACGATAAAACCTCTCATGGTGATTCTCTTTGCAACAATGTTCATCAAGTTCTTGATGGGGTATCTCTCGGCTTCTGGTTTGCTGTACTCGCTAATCATACCGCACGCGACGATTCTACCGTGATCGTTCATTGCGTTGATAGCAGCTTCTAATTGTTCTCCTCCGACGTTCTCGTAGTAGATGTCGACGCCGTTTGGTGCAAGACGCTTGAGAGCATCTGCTGGCTTCTCGGTCTTGTAGTTGAAACCACCATCGAACTTCAATTCGTTGATGATGTAGTCTAATTTGTCATCAGAACCAACGGATCCAATAACTGTGAGGCCTTCGTGCTTGGCGAGTTGTCCAACGAGGGCTCCAACGGCTCCGGATGCGGAGGAGATGAAGATGGTCTCGCCCTTGACAGGCTTGCCGATTTCGTAGAATGAGGAGTATGCGGTCAATCCGGGCACTAAGTGAGAAGAACGTTAGTATGCTTCGGGGTGTCAAGGGCATCAAAATGACTTACTGCCCAATGCTCCAAGGAAATGCTTTACGTCCAAGTTATATGGGTTCTCGATTTTTGCTGCGCCATCTGCGAGTTGTTTTGGAAGAGCAGAGTACTCTTCAGTCCAGATGAGACCGGTGAGGAGATCTCCTGGTTGGAATTTAGGGTTGTCTGACTTGATAACTTTGGCAACAGTGTTGTTGTTGATAGGTTGTCCCAATGGGAAAGCTGGGGAGTAGGACTTGGTTTCTGCGGCTCTCATACGTCCACGTTGGTAAGGATCGAAGGAGGCATAGAAGTTCTTGGTTGTGATACCTCCAGCGGGTGGTGCTTGGTCAAGATCGAATTCACGAGTCTCAACTACCAAATCCTTTCCTGCAACAGGAACTCCCTGAGGAACTTGCTTGAAGATAAGACCTTTGTTTTGAACCATTTTGGCGGTTTTGATTTATGTAGATGTAGATATATTATTGTAGTGTGAGATTGTCAAAGAAAAAACAATTGAATATAGCCAAAGGGAATGAAGGGGGGACAGAGAGATAGATATATATAAATAGTCTTTGTGAATGAATTTTTCTCAGGTATGACGTTCCTGCTAGTAAACGTCTTCATCCAAGCTCAAACCATGCAAGTTTTGTAGAACATTCTAAAGACTACCTACCTTTCAGGGTCACTGTATCAGATACTTCTTCTTATTCGCCGCCTTTCAAGGACATCTTCTCTCCATTGAAACGAAATCTCCGTTTTTGATTGCGTGAACGAGACATGACTTGAGGTTTATGTGAATTGGTAAGCTTTTGTTGAAGAATGTGGGTACGAGATTCTGTTTTTGCCCATCGTTTTCTATGCCGAGGTTGTCGGACGTATATCAATGTTCAGAAAAACACCCCGCCAAAGCCGCCACCTTGACAACGAAGGAGGAAAATGTTCCACACAATATCATAAAATAGCTACTTGAGGAAAAACATCCGCTTCTACTTACGACGTAGGAGTTAAGGTCGACTCGGCTGATTCAGAGTTATATCCTATCGTACCTAGGTATGTATAGATCCATGCTGTGTAGCTTCCGACAAGTATTACCTGGGCGATTGATCTTGTTGGGAAAAAGGTAATATTTACCCCTTCATCAGAGAGTTCGCTATTCACCCCTTGATATCCGAATGCTGTGTATGCTAACTTCCAAAACGTACGAGTAGGAGCCCCGAAGTCCGAGATGCATTCAAGATCAAAGACATGTCCGTTCTCCGAACAGATTTCCAAGTAGTACTTCGTAGGTAGGCTCGTAGGTACTTCGTACATTCAATGCATCGGTACATAAACTGCCCCGCTTCGGAGAGTTCTGCCATACGGCAAATCATCGTTTTTCTACCCGCGAGTCAGATCCAATTGTTGGGCCATTATTATCTGATTTTTTTCATTCTTTTATTTCCGCCGAATTCGGTGGAAAGTTTTTAATTATGCAATTTGTTATGCTCGCCTGGGCATGGAAGAATTGTTCGTGTTCCCTTTAGAAGAGTACAAAATTGAGTTGATGTTGATTCCGTTTGCATTTACGCATCTGCTTTTGTGATGGACACGTGACATACACCCAAATTATCATCGAATGGTTGTCTTTATTTGGATTCATTGATAGTTATTATTATATGCAATCAACTTTTTGGAACACTTGTTGTATCCAAGCATCAGGTGCGAATATCCGACTGTGCGAGTCGAAGTTGGAATTCCTGAATCGTCGGCTTAAAACACTGGCTAAGTAGTTTGCAATTATCATCTTCCAGACACTCACCCAGTAGGAGAGGGAGGACAAGATATACTGAAAACTTCCATTTGAATGCGATGTCTTTTCCATTAATAGTTCAAAGCTTCAGATAATATGTGTTTATGTTGAAATTTATCATCAGTCTCCTCATTCATAAGGGATGGTTCAAATACAGGAGAGATGCGTCGTTGTCCCGTGGGTAGTTTCCTATCGTTAATTCTCGAGTCGAATCATCAGATAGATACCTGGATACATAGACGTATAATAAAAGCTATACCATTTGGTCATCCATATCCGATGAACTTCTTAACAGTTTCAAGCTCTGTTTATCTGCCCATTTGAAATCCAAACCTACTCGTCCATACATCCAAACCTAAAGAAGAGGAGTATGATCGGCGGAAGCCATCGAGGTATCGCAAAAAGAAGAGTGAAAAGGGGGGTAGTATCAAGCAATTAAGAAGTCTCAACGAAACCAGGAAAGTATCGAGAGCTAATGAGAAGGAAATATTTCATTCACATCCTTATTCCCTCTACACGCACCTCCATCTTCCTCAAACCAAACCTACATCACCACATATTTTGGGAACCGAAGAACACACCCAGATATTTCAAAGATCCATTAACTTCCAACTTCCAAGACACATTCAGATAGCGGGACGACCAAACCCGATTTCTGTCTATAACAGAGCTATCATGCTCTGATCTTCATCTGTCGATATCTCACACGAATACACGACCGGGGAGTCTCCTGCTTTACCTCAAGTAAAGTGTACTTTCACTCTTCCATTATTTCCACAAAAGCATGAAATGCACCACTTTCTCTCAAGCATTTAAACACTCAATAGAACAATTTCTCTTCAAGTGTATATAAGATATGCTGGTTTTTGATATTAATGTACTATTTCAAGATTACTAGATATTCTTTATCCATTTCCACATGAAATTCCTTTCTCATGTCCATTTCCGTCCGTTTCTCATAAGCCATATATGCATTGCACAATATATATTCCCATTCCCAATTCCATGGATTTCCTTTCCGTGTTCCATTTCCATTTCCGTATCCCAAATTATAACTCCAAGGCCGTTAAACATTCAGCCATTAAATCCACTTCCATAGCACTCTTCTCTCCTTCTCTTGAACCCTCCTGGAATTACATATAATTTCTTACCTCATCCTCTCCAAAAAGACTCTGCACATGATACGTTTCCCAGTTCAAAAAATCCCCCAAATCATGTCCCAAGTTGTATCCCATGGGAATGTATTCATCCTTAATTTTAACCAAGTTGATCGGCGAAGGTGGTAGCGAATCATTATCGTCATCATCGATTTTTGGCTCTGGAACATTCACTTTGAGTGCCACATCTCTCCTGGCTGCTAAGGTAGGACCAGATACGGAATCCACTACTTGTGGCGCACTATCCCGGGTCGTTTCTACCCACAGCCCGCCTTGATATTCTGGGGTTCTAGGTCTGCCACTACTGCTTTCACTAGGAATACCAAAGCCCAGTCCAAGTCCGATAGTCGTCGCGCGATTATCCCTTCCATCTTTATTTTTGAGAGGACTCTTTTCCGCATCGGGAGTCGCGAGGGACTTTCCTCTCTTGCGTCGAGAAACAGGTGCTTCTCTGACTAAACGACCGATTCCAGGATATCCGAATCCGCTCCACCAATCGAAAATACTATCAACCTCCGCTTCATCTGCTTCCCAGATGCTTTCTTCGCTAGCGCCTAATGTACCATCGTCCATTGTGCCTGAAATTGCCATCTGGAATGCGGTCCAATCGAGTGCTTCTTCAAACTCGGGCGCAGACAGAGAATCGCGATTAGAGCGATGATAGACATGTTCGAGACGAATGGGACCGTGGCGGAAAAGTGGAGATGTGAGGGTATATGGTGTGGAGGGTAATTGAATGTAGTCTACAGAGGATGTACTTGAGTCTTGAGAATATTCCGAATCTTGCGAGAAGGATCGTTGAGGGGTTCGTGGGGCTAAGATGTTCAGGGGAGAGATTTCGGGAATGGTGGGTAGGAGACTTGTCATTCCTGTGTTGGAACGACTTCGTGGGAGTCTAGGTGGAGAATGTGGAGAATCGCGGGGTGGAGAGGGGAAGTTGAGATCTTCGAATGCTTGTTCGATAGCATCGATTTCGGCATAATCGGGATTTGACACATCGGATAATGCTCTTCGACCTCTTTGGTGGTCATTTTCCAAAGATTCGGATACATCTGACGATGTAAATGGTAGTGGTGAAGAAGAACCAAGAATTCGTGTTGAATTGGATATTTTGTCCTTGTCATTGTTGATGCGAGGTAATAAATGTTCCAAATGAAAGGGTTCTGTTGGTGATACATTATTTGGGCTATCCGACGATATATTGTTCGTATCAAGCTTCTTATCCGCATCTATTTTCCGTGAATATCCCGCTGAAGTAATCCCATCCGCATCTTTGACTGTGTCGACATTGCGAGCGGCTTCATTTTGAGCATTTTCCAATGAAGCTTTTCGTTCATTATCTAACTTTGCCTTTTCCGCCTTTTCCTCTAGTTGCTGTAATCTATCCGGAGTCAACATTTCATCGGCTTCCAGTCTGGTGAATTTTCCTTTGAAAACATCAGCCATACTGGCTGTGACATCTCCCAAGTTCCATCTTGCACTTGAATGCGGATGCGGTAAACTCTTCCTCGAAGCCTTATCCGAAGTAGTACTTTTCTTTTGTTTGGGAGAAATCGACTTCTTTGCTTTTGTATTGAATGAAGATTTTGGCACGGGGGATTTTCCCGAAAGACTGGTTGAAGATGGACGTTCTTTCAAAAAGTTGGAATTCTGCATTTGATTGCGCTTCGAGATTGAATTGGTCCGTGCGAGAGGTTTACTCGAGTAGGTCGATCGGTTTTGGCGGGTAACGATGGTATTGTTGATATTCTTGATATTCATATTGTTCATATTGTTCATATCATTAACACTCATACCGGTTATCCTGGCTGCTTTGCTATTTTCGAATTGCTGAAATCCTCGAGTGGCAGCTTTTGCATCACCTAAAGCAAATCCAACTGCTTGGAATGCTTCATCCGTTTCGCGAATTAATTGTTCGACGTTATCGGTAAATTCGACCATCTTTTGTAGATTCGAACATGAAGCAGATGTTGATATCGATTTCTTATTATGACTGGACTGTGGTTGCTGTTGTTGATCTTGTTGTTGCTGAGAATTATTTGGATGAGAATGAAAATGAAAGAACGATTTTTCCTTTGATCTGAGAATAAATCTATCGTATGACTTGGTTGATCGGATTAATTTTTTGGTGGGAGTAGGAGTTTTGGGAATACTAGGGATACTAGTAATGGTAGGAGTTGGATTTCCTTTCTCATTAATAAGATGATTTAACAACGATGAAGTATTTGGATTATGGAAGAGATTAATATTTGATCCTTCCTCCTTCCCTTCCCCTTCCATAAGCTTATCTGACGAGGTAGCTTGCGCCTCTCTTTTATAAGAATGTAACCTCAAGTTAGAATTTGCTTGTGCCTGCTGCGGAATTTCTTTTTCTGAAAATACCATGCCGGTGTTGCTGCAAGTCTGCGCTTGTGTTGCTAATGGTGCATCACCTGAGTCCAATTTTGGGGGCGCCAGGGTTTGGGGGAAATAATGATAGCGGGGCTGACGATTATGATGCTGATTATTATCATTAATCGGACTTGATTGCAAGGTACGAGTCGCAATTCTTAATGAAACACAACTTTTGGACTTGGATATAGTTGGAGACAAAGAACCAACATCGTCCTCAATTGGTGTCGATTCTACCTTTGTTAGGTTCGGTGTACTCTTATTCCCTTGGCCACCCACACTTTCATCCACACTTTTATCCATACTTCCGCTCGCCGAGTTATCGTTAAAACCCCAATCGAAATGTAAAGGACTTAATGGTGACTGTGCCGTTTGGCTAGAATCGATCCGGATCTCAGGAGGTTTTCGTACCATAATAGCTGTATTCCTTCTAACCGCAAGTTTGTCGGATTTTGGATTTTCTGATATCCAGAAAAGGCTTTCTGGTTGCCTATTGCTGGTATTACGATCGTATTCGAAAAATCCATCAGCACTGTTACTCTCTCGATGAAAGATCATCTGCTTGGGACGCGATCCTGACTTTTGAAGTGGCATAGTCGCAGAGTGTTGAATGGGGAGTAGAACAGAAACGAAATTCGAATGTTAGTCCGCCGTGTATATCAATTGAACAAATTTGGGTGGATTTCCGGTTTTGAGATGATGCACAATACAACTTGATACACAGCGCAATCATCTGTACGACATTGGCACAACACTTTAGCAAGGGATACACTCAGATACCTAAGGTATATCTACAAACATCTGATGGGAATGGATTTCGCATCCACTTGTAGCATTGGGGCTCATCTTTAGAGTTAAAGATCTAGCTCAAAGTATATATTAAAGATAGCCTGCTAGTGCACCGCTTGACGATATATCACAAAACTCGCGTGGTTAACAGATCAACAATATGCATGCCGGATAGCACATCCACACCGACCTCGTGGTACTGGATTCCAAAGGCCAGATTCCTTTGAGTGACAAGCGCCGCCCATGTCAAACGCAAAATACCAACAGCTTTCATAACAGATAAGTGATAGGCTATACCTTCGATTCATGCAACAGAAGGAAGAGTGGAGTGGACTTCCTTGTGGCAAATCTCAAAGAGACATCCACTTACTGA